CACGACCCTAGTGTTCGAGGGGCGAAGACAGATCATGCCTTAGACTGCGCGACCACTGTGATCGGCTGCGAAACCAATTAGGTTAATTTGTAGCAACTTCTGTATTGGTAAGCATCTGTCAGGCGCATGCCACTTTTAAAATGATCAGGAGTAAGTAAATGCTTTATGTGTTGCTTTTGAAGACGCTACTTGTAGTCTCGAAGAATAAGCGTTGTTGAAAATATGTAATAATAATTTACTGTGTGTAACATTCACGTGTAGGAAAACAGAAGCTACGTGGACGCTAGGAAGTTACCTGGGGGCCAGCCGTGCCGTTGTAACAAAGCTTTCGCATTATGAGAGTACGCTCTTTTATATGTAACCGTCATTCTACTCTCGTAGCTTCATCGTGTAAGTGTACCTGTGCGCGAGTGACTCCACGCACTGAGCAGATGAACATGCAGGAGCTGTCTCACTTCTAAGATAAATGTTGTGTGTTGCCAGTGATCTTCTCCTTCGTGTCCAGCGTGATGGGTGCTGCTCTTCTAGCTGCCAACACCGAAGCGCTAGTGGTTACACTCTCCTCTTTATACATCGCCACTACCGGTGTCTGCATTAACATGCTCAGCACTATCGTCATCGACCTCATCCCCACGCAGTTCAGGTAACATTTGAATATTAAATCCTCCATATGCACTTAAACAGTCGATATTTCAGTTATGATATTGTCACGTGTATCAGTGACTAGAGACGAGGTTCGGATTGGTAATTGAATTTATTAACCACCTACGGGTCGTAACTACAAATAATTATTATACTATTGCTGATTTACACAATTTAAAATCACTCCACGCTAATCTCCTCAATCCGTTTCCACTAGTCTTCACTATCCGTTTCCTGGTAACGGATTTATAACACAGGAACTATAAAAGTCTCACTAAATCAGACACTCCCAATATCACTGTACTACTGCACACATGAAATCTTTAAATTACAATTTAAATCTTCACAGGTTCACTTCTTGTACTCTTCTGTACTCCCCAAGATTACTGCTTGCTTGCTGCACTCCTCCAGCTTACCGCTCATCTTCCGACCGCTTACTGCTCAGCTTCGGAATTCTGCTCAGTTATACAGACGCGGCGCGGACACACGACCTGCAGAAAACACATAACATGGTCACTATCCAGCCAGTCCATTGAGGGTCTGGCTGGACCTACAGAAAACATGTCACGTGACCGCTCCCTACTGTTGTTTGACGTCAGCGCGGATACAAAGAACACAGCTTCACCTATTGTTGATTGCGCGTAATTCGGGCGTGGTCTAGAGATGACGTCCTTCTATTATTGCTTGTTGTAACATGTTTACGGAACTGTGGCCCGACAATGGGTATCCACGTTAAAATACAGAAGCAGTTTCACAGAAAGAAACCGCGTTATTTGTGATGTAGTTAACTGGATGAGGCATCGGGAACTGACCAGTTGTGAGAGCAAAGCAATTGTTCCCTGACTTTTCATTGAATCCTCCGGATTACACTAAAAGAACGTTATCTACAATTCTCCCATTTTGGCCAGTATCCGTGATGCTAATTATATTACCTACGTGTATAACTCTATAAGCATTTTTCATTACATGAAACCCAAAATGTCCACTCGGGGACCAAATTTGCAGATGTTAACCCACCGAAAATACCAGTTACAGATAAGAGTCTGCCTGCTGGTTCATGTTTTTGCAACAAGTCCAAACTGTTTAAGGCCTTAGTTTCAGTTTTTGTGCAAAGCGCTTCAAACCCTTAGAGGCGAAACCAGATTTCTCTTTCTCTTGATATTCTACGGTGACGTTTTGGTTTGCCAATTAACAGACTAGTTCCTCTTATTTTATTTACAAGATTGTGAATAAGTTTTCTATCGTGACTTCTCGAACTCCTGGAAACTTTCTCCTGCACTCGCTCTGACTCTTCTAGTGGAGTTACACTTTTCATAAAATTTCCATAAAATGCTCGAATATATATTTTTCCATCTGTACACAAGACTCATCGTACAGGACTTCCATATGGGAGTGTCCGTTCCTTCTCCTCACCGTTGCTGGCTCGTTAAGGCAGCCGGAAGACGATGCGGTGAAGAGATCTGTCTCGCCTCAGGCCGCAATAATCACACTGTTCACTGAATGAGAATGAATATTTCAAAGATTTTGTTCGTAACATGAAGTTAGGAGATCTCCATCTAGACTACTTCAGCAGAACCTGAAACCTAATCTCTGTAATTTATTATAAAAAGGTAAAGTTGCTCCTGTGCTTAACCAATTAAGCACTACGCCATGAAGGCGTGTGGGGAGTGTACTTGTATGTATAGATCCACATTTTCGTGACCTCGGCACTAGATGGAGGTGAGTGATTAGCTTCACACCCCGGAAAAGAAGCTCCGGTAACCATTGGATATGAGGTTCGGTGGACCCCAAAGACGGTCTGGACGACATGGAGAAGGAGAAATTCTTGACCCTACTGGGACTCGAACTCCGTCCCTCGGTCATCGAGCCCGTTGCCAGTCGCTATACCGACTACATTATCCAGGCTGTCAGTAAGTTATTATACATTCCCGAAACTATTAAATGAATTCACGATGCGTCAAAATAAATGCAGATTTTGTATAATCGAAGTAACTCGTTTAATCACTGGGTTTGTGTACATGAGATGATAGTGATGTTATTATTACTTATCTCAGTTCGAGAGCACAAAGAAGTCCATGAAAATTGTAAAGCTCCCTGCGAGTAGCCCTTAACTGCATACCCTTCCAGTTAACTAAGAGCATAACTTGCGGTATGTTGGGACCCATACAGAGATTGGCAGGCTAACGCTTTAAATCGGGGACAAAGAAGAGCGGCTAAATTTGCAAATCCTACAGATGAATCTGACTGGGAAACTGGCACAGCGTAGACTGACAGCCCGTCTGTGCGACCTTACAAGGCATACACCAGGAGACCGGATGGAAAGCGATAGGGGATAGCCTGCTTAAACCAGGCTACCTGAGTAGGGACGATCATAGTTGGAAAGTTAGGAGTAGGAAACAAAGAACAGATGTTGGTAAATAATCCTTTGTAAATAGAACCATAAAGGATAGGAACAGTTTACCTGCAGGCATACTAGCGTTTTTCTCCGGTAAATTAAACACTTTTAGAAAGAGGGTTAGGAAAGCTGTTACAAGAAAGAGACCTTAGGCGCAGTTTGAATGGAAATGAGTGAAGTAACGTGAAGTGTCCTTGTTCGAGTGCAGTGAAACGAACGCAATCACGTGCCCTTGTGTGACTTCATATGTTTGGATTTGCACTGTGTGTACCTTGTTTACCGTACGTACTTTGTTTTGTATTGTTCCCTTTANTGACAAAATATGCACGAGTTAACTCCATGGTTTTGCGGGTTTAAGGAACTTCGGAGCTTTACACCTTCGATCATGTGACTGCATTCTGAGTTTCTTTCATATTCTAAAGAAATGTAAGATTTTTTAAAATCATTACATATTACTGATATGAGACCAATTTTATTATTTATATTCCCTGTTGAATTGAGAGTCGTTCCTCTAGTAAAGCCAGAAACCGAAAATAAATTTCTTAGATAATTTTACATTACACTTATCAAGTGAGACCTGCTAAATTCTTATTTCGTCTCCAAGAGATTTGGGATTCTCGGTTCTACATGCGTTTGAGGGACTTGTGAGATTTACTCAGTGCCTGGAAACAAATAATAGTGCATGCTTCGCAAGATGTCATTCCAGTTACACCCCAATTCGACATTCACAGCCATGCGCATAAGAAAGAGCAATGACAGCGTGAGGTGTTGTTGTGCAGGGCAATGGCGGTGTGTCTGTCCCTCATGTCAGGTCGGCTTGGAGTGACAGTCTTCAGCCTTGCAATTGGCTTTATCTTGGATCACGCATGCAATGCAGCTTTCATCCTCCTCAGTGTTGTCGTCCTGGGTGAGTATTCGGATGCTTCATTATGTACTTCTCATTGTTTTTGTTGCATTGTTCCAGCATTACGTTATATTAGAACACTGTACAGTTTTTATTTTTAATCAACGTAATACAAAACTATAATTTTGCCTGTGGTTCTGTGTGGGTGTGAAACTTGGTGTCTGACATTAAGGAAGGAACATAGACTGAGGGCATTTAAGAATAGGGTGTTGAGGAGAATATTTGGACCGAAGAGAGATGAAGTGACAGGAGGTTGGAGAAAACTGCATAATGAAGAGCTTCATAACTTGTACTCTTCTTCAAGCATAATTAGAATGATCAAGTCAAGGAGGATGAGGTGGGCAGGTCATGTAGCACGAATGAGGGAGAAGAGGAAAGCGCATAGGATATTGGTGGGAAAGCCAGAAGGAAAGAGACCACTGGGAAGACCAAGGCGTTGGTGGGTGGACAATATTAAAAAGGATCTTAGAGAGATAGGATGGGTTGTTATGGATTGGATTGATCTGGCTCAGGAGAGGGACCAGTTGAGGGCTCTTGTGAACACGGTAATGAACCTTCGGGTTCTATAAAATGCTGGGATTTTCTTGAGTAGCTGCAGAATTGGCGGCTCCTCCAGAAGGGCTCAGCTCCACGAGTAAGTAAGTAAATATTTGTCTCTAAATCGACTTGGTTTCTTTCATTTAATTTATTTTTAGGGCGTTATTCTCCTAAGCCTTATTCAGTACGATGTATGCCCTCGAATTAAACGTAAATGTACATTCAGTCCGCCCGTATGTTTCATTTCCGAAACTACTGAATTGATTTTGGATAATTTTGACTTTGCGGTCTGTATTAAAATTTGCGGAGAATATTCAATGTTGGCTCGAATATGCCGTACTTTATGCGAAATTAACACTTTTCTTTTGGTAAATATGTAAGAAGAAACAAGGAAAAGTAATTTGTCGCTTTATGCAGTATGTAATATTTAGAGCAATTAGCGTTGTAACAAGAGACGTGTAAGTGTATTGTGTGGCCGGAAGTGTACGCCATCCCAAATCAGGAGGCTTCAACAATAGCGGAAGTTCTGGTTGCCAACTTCTTCTGCCGCTTCGGCATACCTCGAGAGTTGCACAGTGACCATGGCCGTAACTTCGAGTCTCATCTACTGAAAGAAGTTTTACAACGCCTGGGAGTGAGCAAGACGCGCACCACACCCTTGCACCCACAGTCGGATGGCATGGTGGAACGCTACGTCAAGACCATCGAGGAGCACTTGCGGAAGGTCGTCTCATCGCACCAAAGGGACTGGGATGAGAGGTTACCCCTCTTTCTCCTAGCTTACAGGGCATCCACTCACGACACTACGGGCCTGACGCCTGCTGGTCTAGTGTTCGGACGAGAACTACGGCTACCCTGCGACCTGCTGTTTGGAGTACCCC